CTCTTTCCTTTTACAAGTTTGCATCAAGTCGAAACAAAAGATAGTTTAGCTTTTCGGAAACTATCCAACGCTTTTCGCTATTATTGAGATTACGAGACCCGAAGTGAAAAACTTTCTTTAAATAGATAAGATAAAGATTAAAATAGTCCTTTGTTAGAAAAGTTTGTTGAAAGGAGTGGGTAAATGTTAAAGTGTTCATCAAAATTGAAATTTTAATCAATAGAAAATGCAAGGATAACTTTATTTAAGATAATAATCTGTTCTTGCATTTTTTATCACTGAAGAAATGAATGTTAAGGCGGGTTCTCACTTGTCAGTTTCGCTGACGCAGTCTGACTGATTCAGTGATACTGAACAAACAATGAACGTCAGAACACATTTTCATGTTAAATGATCAGTACATTCGTACTTTCAGTTAAAGTGAAAACCAGTTCTACTTTTTTTCATTTTGACTGATCATTATCGAATAATGAATAGAAACTGAAGCGTGAGAACTACATTTTCGTGATTTGTGCAGTTTACAAGTTAAGTTAATTAATTCTTTTAATATAGTTTCACTAGCACCCCGTTTATTTCTTCGCAATATCCAGGACCTGACCACCTACGACGTTTTTTTTTTCTTTTCTGATTCACCAGAATATTCTGTAATTCATTTGCTAATTGTAAACAAACTTCGCGAACACCTGGTTTCAATTTTGTTTTAACCATTTTCATGTCTATACGAAATCACCACATTAGAATGTTTGGACCAACTGAATACTGAATGTAGCAAAACATGAAACGTGTGAATACAATCGTTGTTTTTTATTTTTCATTGATAATGAATCAGTCAGACTGCGTCAGCGAAACTGACAAGTGAGAACCCGCCTTTATTGAAAAATGATTATTTATTTTTAAGTAAAGGCGGGTTCTCACTTGTCAGTTTCGCTGACGCAGTCTGACTGATTCATTATCAATGAAAAATAAAAAACAACGATTGTATTCACACGTTTCATGTTTTGCTACATTCAGTATTCAGTTGGTCCAAACATTCTAATGTGGTGATTTCTGTATAGACATGAAAATGGTTAAAACAAAAATTGAAACCAGGTGTTCGCGAAGTTTGTTTTAACAAATGAATTACAGATATATTCTGGTGAATCAGAAAAGAAAAAAACGTCGTAGGTGGTCAGGATCCTGGATATTGCGAAGAAATAAACGGGGTGCTAGTGAAACTATATTAAAGAATTAATTAACTTAACTTGTAAACTGCACAAATCACAAAATGTAGTTCTCACGCTTCAGTTTCTATTCATTATTCGATAATGATCAGTCAAAATGAAAAAAAGTAGAACTGGTTTTCACTTTAACTGAAAGTACGAATGTACTGATCATTTAACATGAAAATGTGTTCTGACGTTCATTGTTTGTTCAGTATCACTGAATCAGTCAGACTGCGTCAGCGAAACTGACAAGTGAGAACCCGCCTTAAATGTGATTTATTTATTTATTTTAAAACATTTTGATTAGCTTTACCTTAATTCCTGCATATGTATCAATTTACTAAAATTGTTAATCATCATTTTTACCTATTTTAATCTTCAGATTAAATTATTGTAACTTTGAAATTATCAAGGGTCGACAATTACAGGATGAGTCTTAAATAAGTGCAAATATTTTCAGGGCTGGTAGATCTCTATAAAAGAAACATATTTTCTCTTTACCATTTTTCAAATAAGTCAAAAATAACCTACATTTTGTACTTTGAAATTTAAAAAAAAAATGATTTTTCGCTTTTATTTTGAAAACCACTTGATGTTTTCTAGATTTTATTACTTGTAAATTTAATCATGCTGTTATTTTTTAATATCACGAGGTGGCTTTGGGTGATTATTGTCGTGATGTTGTATCGACACTGATTAAGACTCTATTTTGAAATTTAAAAAACGTTAAAAAGTAACGATACAAGCTTGGTTTTAATAAATAGTTGTAACACTAACAGAACAACAAAAAAAAACAGGATATCGGTGGCCGCGTGGTTAAAGCGTTAGGACTTTACGCTGCTATGACGTTGGAGCCGTAGTAAAGCAGGTTCGAATCCTAGTCAAGGGGACTTTTTATTAATCGTTTTTTTTTTATTTTTGCATATTTTTACATATTTATTTTTACTTTTTACATATTTATTATTGATTAATACAATTTTTAGTAATGTGTTTCTTCATTTTTTTTTAAATTACTTATACGCGCATTCAAAATTTCAGCTATAATAATATAGTGTTTAATGTTGTATAGATAAAATGAATGGTACGGAACCCTTCGTGCGCGAGTCCGACTCGCACTTGAGCAATTTTTTATTAGATATTAACGAGCTTGGAAAAATTAAATTTATCTTGGAATAAAGTAGTGTGCTTTCTCTTTCAGCAAATTCTCGTAAATGGAAAATCGAGAAGCAATGTTCCACGCTGCCGAGTGCGAAATGTCAAGTGTCCATCAATCATCGAAACATCTCCGAAGCCCCAAGCTAACTGAATCCTTTATGTCGGCAATCTCGCAGCCCACGCGTCCTGCAGGAGCATTTTTGTAACGAAGTGATAGAATACGTCTGGTAGGTTTTTTATCCAGGGGTATTTCTTGTTCTAGACAAGTTCCAAACCAATGTGTGGATTATCCCAAACTAATATATTAATGTTGGCATTAGGAAAAAGGTAGAAAATATTTTTTTCATAAAAGCTGATTTTCTGATTAAGTCAGCGTCTTTGTTAGAGACGTTTTTCTTAAAGCTTGATGGTTGAAATATGTAGGGACGTTTTTTTTAGGCGGGCGGGGTTAGCAATTACGTTTTTAATTAAAATTGTTATAATAAAAATTTTCCGAGATTTTTATAAACTCATTCATATTTTCAGTAATAATAGCTTATTTGTCAAGACTTTTTTAACAGTTCTTCTTAAAGTCTCTTTAAGCAAGTAAGAAAGTTTGAAATATTTGTTTAATCACGTTTTAATAAAAAAAAACAACTTTTCCTGATTGGCTTTTTCCGCTTTTTTGGGATTTCCGGAAAGTGTCGTAAACAAAAGAATTTTATAAGTAACAAGCATCAATGGAGGAATTCGAAATGAATGATAACACACCTGCAATAACTTGCAATCACAACCTGCAATAACTTGCAACTCTTTCAGAGTATACTGTTCTTGTCCATTTTCCGGGATATAATGGACTAAATTAATTTGATGATCTAGGGGCTATGGAACATGGTTTCTAAAATTGCTTATGACAATGCTTGTGATATCTGGCACGCGCACAAAAAAATTTTGACAAATAAGCTATTATTAATGAAGATATGAATAAGTTTGTAAAAATCTGAAAATTTTTGGACCAAGGAATGTTTGTCCGGTTTTTTATTATCATAAAATATGACAAAATTCAAACAAAATGTTCCAAAATGTGATAGCTGTTGATTCTACATTAAATCATCAAAAAATATTAAATTTTAGCCTAGTTATTAAACAATTTGTTCTATCAATCAATGATATGCTTATGAAATCTATCTCCGGAGCCGTTATGACTTGGAGAGAAAATTGAGGGATCTTCAACCTTCATTTACTGGACTATCTTCAGAAAAGTCAATAATAAAGTTTCTAAAAATGTTCCAAATCTTCCAATAGATTTTTGCACAGTTTGTAGCAGGTATATCTTTATACTTAGCTAATTAAGAGACTACAAGATTCGATAGAAGTTAGTTTATTTCTTTATTCATGGCAACATCTGCCGATCCAAATAAAGTTTTTTTCCTTTTTTTTCCCCTGTCTTTTTGTAATGGAATACCCTATATATTAATCGATTTTCGGATTCTAAAACATTGGGCACTTTTAAGCAAGTTACTCTTTTATTTTAAATGTTCCGATATTCAATGGAGAATTCATGTCTCTTCAAAATACTATTAAGGTTGCCTACCCCTCAAACAAAAGCTTTCCTAGATTCCTTTTCATTTTCCTAACCTAACCACCTATTGTTGATAACATGAGAGAAATGATTGTGGCTGCTTTTCGAAGTAGAATTGCACATATGATTTTTGTCATGAAAAGATCTTTTAAAAAGAGAATATAATTTTATACAGTAAACAGGAAAGGAAGCATTTTGAGCATTTCATTTCATCTAACTAATTTTTGTCACATAATTATACTTTTATATCTAGTTTTAATTCTGAAATAATTAAAATATGTTTTAAACGTGCATTTTTTTGTTCCCGTTGAGTATTTTACTTTAAATCCTTTAATTTTTGTTAACACAGTCACCTAGATTTTATCAAATAATAAAGGTCTAATGCAAAATCATAAAACTGAAAATATCTAGGTAAATATTTGTCTGATTGGTGGGTAACCTTAAGAGTGTTTTAAAGATATATGAATTCTCCATTGAATACCGCAATAACATACGGGTGTTCCATTTAAAACAAAGTGGTAACTTGCTTTTAAAAGTGACCAATGATCAATATTAATTTTGCCTCACCCTGTATAACTTTTCGGGTCAAATTTTAATTTGGTTTAACATACAGTGGTTATTGTAATTAAATATCAGGATATACAGGGTAAATTATAATTTAGCTGGCTGTGATTCAAATTTAAATTTTATTCTTCATTTTCACAAAATAATATAATAATAATGTGAAATATGTCGAAATCCTTACATTTTAGGCATATGCTTGTTTAATGAAACTCACCCTTATTTTTTTCATAGAATCCAAAAATCAATTAATATATAGGGTGTTCCATTACAAAAAACCCAACTTTGATGTGTAATTTTTTTTGGGGACACCCTGTAGAACTCTATATGATTTTACAAAATTCTTTTAATTAACCTACATATGCTCCCAAAATTTAATTTCGATATAAACTACCGTTTTCCTTAGAGCTTAGTTAATTAATCCTAAAAGCCTCTAACACAGTACTGCCAACTATTTCAGTCATATTAGCTTTGTTTTTATAAATAATAAGTATATATATAGATAATAAATTAAAACTCACCTAGTACTGAGACTTAGTTGAAATCATTGATATTCCATCCTTTCTTTGCTTATGCCACTAATACACAAAAATATAATCCCACCACAACTTTCAAAATATTTTACTCTAAAAGAAATTGTTTAAGCGTACTAACACTAACACTCGATGAAGAATAAATATCTTGATATGCTTAAGTACCTTTCATTATATTAAAACGTTATAACCCGGTTAATATGTCACTGTATAAACCGCTGGTAGTTTTAATCAAAATGTTCTACAATGATATTTATCAAAAGATCGTCCAAAGAAAAATGCGATGTGTGGCGGTGTTGTATTTACTATTGTTATTAACGGCAGCGGTAAGAGTCAATATAGTAAAATTAGTATTTGTGCGCTAACAGAGTTATCTTTTCTATTTGGGGAGCAATAATAATTATTGTTATTACTACCTAATCAAGAAATGTTTTTTATGATCGATCATACTCTAAAGACATACCTACCTACATACTCATCTTTTTTATGGCATTAACGTTTTAATAGATTAATCGTTTAGTTTAATGAGTGTCTAAATTATTTATAAGTCAATAATTTCCTATATTAGATAGTCCCCAATGTACAGGGTGGGTCAAATTGGACGCTTTTAAAGGGAAACGCTCTTTTCTATAGGAGATAGACGAACACTAATATCGGTGTCTGGAGCTCAATTTTTATCAAAAACATGATGGTGAAAACCGCACATCGATATCCGTTACCGTTTCGAAGTTAAGGGGTGTTTTTCAAAAATGTGCTTTTTAACAAATCGCTGCAACTTTTGTTGTCATTTCAGCAAATCGCTGCTAAGGAAAATTTTTATATTTTTATGAAAATATTTCCAAAGCACCTTTTTACGCAGAATTTAATGGTTTAAGTATGATTTTTTTTAATTAATAATTTAAGAGTTTTCAACAGAAAAATTGAAAAATTTTGATTTGTTGTCGATCATGTTTTTGATAAAAATTGAGCTCCAGACACCGATATTAGTTTTCGCGTATCTCCTATAGAAAAGGGTGTTTCCCTTTAAAAGCGTCCAATTTGGCCCACCCTGCACCTACAGGGTGACCATGACTTCAAGAGAAAGAGATTTGCTATTTCAAATTTTTACTCCAATTTTTTTTTAATACGTAGGCATTATTAAGGTTTGTCCAGTGGGAAAATTAACAATGACATTTGTTGTCTGTCATTATGATTCATTGATAAATTTAATTTTTTGAATGTCATTTGTCGAAATCTTCCCTCCATTGGACATACTTCAGAGCTCATCTCAAAAATAATTTTATCGTTTTCAAAGTTATTGCAATGTGCAGCAAAATCTCTAGTTTTAGATGAAATTCGGTATATTCTTCCGCTCAGTAGATTTAACATAAAATTCTAGATGATTTTAGCTTCAAAAATGTCACCATATCATAGTCTATACCGAGTGGTCTTTGAAATATGATCATTTTTAGACTTAATTTTCTACATTAGTTAAGGCTCTTTCATATTTAAAAACATCGCTATTTATTCATGATTTTTAACAAAAATTGTTTTAGTGTAGTGTCTTATTCATAACTAAACATAATAGTATTGGCTAAATTGCTTGGTATATTTCGAGAATGAGTCAAAATTTGATATGGTGATTTTCTCCGTTATTTCAAATGGGATATAACCTTGTCACAAATTACCTATAACAGATGCGAAAGAAAGCGACTGCATCGAAAACCGTTCGGCAAACCCGACACGCCTATTGAGTGGTGTAAATACACCAGTCGTTTAGTCCGGAAACCCATGCTGTGTTTTATTCGCTTGCTGGAGTGACATAGTGCATGGTTATATGTTTCTTTTTAAAAACGCGTGTAGGATTTTTGTTGAACTTTTGAACTGTTATTTCTAAGTTTTGGTAATTTGTATATCTTATTTAAAATAGGATACAAATGTGTTTATTTATAAGGAAAAATGAGATATTTATAGTATAAAAAATTAATTTATTTAACAAAATTTAATTAACAATGTGACAAAATAGTTACCTTTCTATTGGTTCTATCGGACTTTTTTCGACTATATAAATCTTTATTTGTAAACTTTAATACATCAAATATTTTCAATCTAATAAATCACTTAATGATGTAAATAAGAGGAAATTTCTCACATGGGTGCTCAAATTCTATAGTTTTCATTATATCAAACAGCCTCTGAGAAATGTTTTCAACTCAAAATGCCTTTAATTATGTTTGACTACATCATTAAAAAGGGTCTTCAAATACATCAATGTGATATTTGTCTAAAATTTGCAAAAGAATCCGAATCTCTGGATAACTCGAAATTATTTACCCATTTAAAAGCCTTTGATCATGAAAGTGGAAAAATTTGTTCATTTTATTTACAGGCTGGAAAAATTATTTATATTAAATTTTGATGAGTTTTGCATTGAAGAAAACATTCAGAGGCTGTTTGATATAATGAAAACTATAGAATTTGACCAACCATGTGAGAAATTTCCTCTTATTTACATCATTAAATTATTTATTAGATTGAAAATATTTTATGCATTAAAGTTTACAAATATAGATTTATATAGTCGAAAAAAGTCCGATAGAACCAATAGAAAAGTAACTATTTTGTCACATCTTTAATTAAATTTTGTTAAATAAATTAATTTTTTATACTATAAATATCTTTTTTTTCCTAATCTCCGACGAACTGATATAATATGACGAGTAATCTATTAAATTACTGTGGAATTATATGCCTCGATAACATATTGGTGTAGATTATTTTCACCCAAACAAATAATAACCCAAACTATACATTGATGCGGACTGTCTATGAACTCTTTCCGAAGGTCACAGAAACCTGAACGCGGAATTCGGTGTTCTTTCGCATCTGTTACAGTTAATTTGTGATCTTGTTGTGTATATACTGGGTGAGTCTTAAATAATTGCAAATATTTTCAAGGCTGGTAAATCTTGATAAAAGAAACATATTTTTTCTTTACCGTTTTACAAATAAGTTCAAAATAAACGAGGTATTTTACTATGATTATTGTTAGTTCCGAGTAGTTAATATGCAGATAAAAAAAATCGTGGGTGTTTGGGAAGGCTTGAAAGGAAACAATGTTTTTGCGACGTTTCACGACTTTATTGTCGCTTCTTCAGGCACCAAAACATAACGAAACGTCGCAAAAACATTGTTTCCTTTCAAGCCTTCCCAAACACCCACGATTTTTTTTATCTGAGGTATTTTACTTTCAAATTTAAAAAAATATATATTTTTTGCTTAAATTTTGAGAATCAATGGATTTTTTCTAGAATTTCTTTTTTGTAAATTTAATCTATTATAAATTCTATTATAATCTATAATATTTATCCACCGATGTTGCCATATTATCAACAAGTTGTGTTTTGTTAACTAAAATAATTTCCAAAATTTAAAAAAAAATCAAAATTTTCTAAATTTCCCCTTTTCGCGAAAAAAACCTCATAGGCGTGTTTCTGGCGTCGAAATATACTACCCCTAAAAATATTTGCACTTATTTAAGACCCACCCTGCATAAATTATTATAGCTTTTATCAAACTTTATGTTTTTTGGACACAGAAATTGATAATTAATGAATCATTTTCGTCTTTTTTATTATTAAAGCACGTGGTTTGTCTATCCTCTTTTTTACATACCTGCACGGAAACATTGAGGAGAATTAGTTGAAGATGTTTTAATTCATTTCACAATAAATTTTTCATTTGACAGATTAAAACAGTTTTAAAAATTAAGACAATCGATAGCATTCCCCACATCATTCCTTATATAAAATGACAATGATCTTCTTTACAAGCCATCTCAGACGCCGTTTTTTTTCAAACATTGCAATTTATTGTGCTGATACAGCTAAAAAGTATTATTATAAAACAGAAATTTAATTTATTAGCATCGGTTTTATATACAGGGTTGTTCACCACATACGACACCGAGTATTGTAGCTAAATGATTAGATTTTTACAAATTTTAAGTTTTGGGTTCGTTGAAGGACTATTAGAGCTACAATTTAGAAATAATTTTACAAGATGTGTCCCAAATATGTAAAAAATATTAAAGTTGTATTTTTTTAAATGGAACACTCTGTATATTGTTCTATTTTTAGATTCTACGATTGAAATAAAGGTAAATTTTATTAAGGTTTATCACACTTAAACCTTACCGTTTTTGAAATATTTTCAATTTTGTGAAATTGCAGTAACAATTTTAAGGCTTTATTTCTCCAAGGGTTTTTAATACTAAATATTTACTGAAGTTTATTTATTGATCAGTTATAGTGTTGCAATAATTAAAATTATACTACCTTGTACAGAGTGTCTAAAATTTTATTTTAAATAATTACTAGCTTTAAACAGCAATAACCTGTTTAATTTAAATAGAACGCCCTGTATATTTTAGGAGAATCAGATGCATAATTTAATTGTCTATCAAATTGTTTTATACCACTTTTTACCTATCCCTTCAAGTTTTCGTAGAAAATGCATTTTCTTATAATTTAGACCTCATTTATCAATATACCCACGGAATATTGACATTTTAGATTGTTTTTAAAGCAACAAATGTACAAAATGTACAGGCTAGTAATATTATCGTTTTTAACAAAATGATAATATTACTAGCCCATTTGTATGCAAAAAGAAAACTATTTAAGTCTTCATAAAAGAGTACACCATTAATTAAACATACCACCATTATTTCCGCCCAAATACTAATTAATTACATACTTAATTATGTTCGTGAATAAATTATTCTAAATAAATGTGGATTTGAATCAGAAATCAATATAACAATAAGTTATAAAAATGAATGTCTCTGTTGTTACAAATAACCATTTGTCAAAAAATGAAATATCATTTTTAAGGTGTTACTTTTTACCACACTGTCTAATACACAAAGAAAATTAAGTTTTTTAGTTTTTGGAGCAATTATTATTAATCAACGCAAACAGTCAATTAATGTAGTTTGAATACTGGAATCATATTAATTGGTCCTCTTTAACAAATATTTAAACATTTTTTTTCATTTTTCAATGAAATAAACAAACTATATCGACAATATTAGTATCTGTACTCTTTAAAAATTTGGTACATTTTTAAAAATTATCTAAAATGTCTTATTATATATTATATTTATAAATGAATTTAAAATTACAAGGAAATGCATTTTCTACGGAAACTTGAAGCTATAGGTAAAAAATGGTATAACACAATTTGATA